TATATCTAAGCTAGTAGATTTTTGTGAAATTCAATGCCCAAGAGAATCCATGATTCTCTTATCAAATACAGCTGGATGTTGTCAGCAATTTTTTGTGTGAAATATCGATTTCACCACTGGATTCGAAAGCCCTCAATTAGGATAATTCCGAAATTTTCATGGAACAAATTCATGATAGCAAAAAAGTTTCAGTAACCCTAATTTCATAGAAACTTATACTTTTGTTCATGAAGATTTTAGACAGTACCTTAGAAAAGGGCAACACTGTCAACAAGAAAATTTCAAATTGCTGAGGATTCTGACATGAATCCGTAGTTATTGTTGAGTTATAACTAAAATGTTATGAGAACCTGTTATTTCAAATTCATTATTCTAGTTTGAAAGAATTGATTCTTCATAATGAGGGCTTTTATAATGATGGATTCAAAATTGCACCAAAATTCGTAGCAGAAAATCATAGCATACCTACCCTGAGACATGCATATTATTTTTTCAGATAAGGTTCTTGCGTAGGAATTCTAATGGTGATCATTTCACCATTGTAAGAGCCCATATCTCACGATTGAGTCTCTTTTGATATCCTCACATGCATATACATCACATCGAGAAGAAAAATCCGGTTGTACAAGTATCTATTCAAAAACATCCTAAAACTGCTAAATGAAACATTTTAACCACGAAATGTCACCTGATGAACGTGAAAAGTTAACGTTGTCAAAGTGAAACAGGTCACCTTTCCAAATCACTCTCTTTGTTTCAAAAAGAATATCTTATAGATTCGAAATTGAACAAGAGTTGGAAGATGGAATTCAAAAGATGATCATTTGAATTCTTGAAGATGTCATTTCAAAATTATACAAGTATCATTAAAGTTCCATTCCTTCTTCATCTACCATCTTTGTCATACTCGTTTACCACAATGAGTCATCTCACTCACTTATGGACACTTGTTTGATCAGAATCATTAGTCGTCTACGGATACCTGATATGTAAGGACATATTAGCCAGTAGAAGCTCGTGAACCCTTCTTACAGGGTGATAATTTTTTTTCCGAAAAAGTGGAGTGGTTGAAAGTTTTTCGAGAAATTTTAGGAACATATTTCTTCAGATGCCCCCCAAGTATAGGATTTGTTGATCTGCATCAGGTCATTATTCACTTTAGTGGCAAAAGCTTGGATGCACAGATTATAGATTGTATTGCGCATATACAATGTGTTCAAGATAAGGATGTCTTCGTATTCTTATCTTGGACACGGTGTATATGTATTTATTTTATTCGTAAGTATAATTGTTTTTGCTGCTTTGAAATTCACAAGAGTTCTGTCCAACAATTCATCAGAAGAAATAAAGGTTTTTTGTTTACGTTTCGTGATTCGTGAACCCCTATTCACTGACGCCACCGTGTACATATTTGGCAACTATGTTAGCTAATAATCCAAGATGGTGACAGGAAGAACAAATATTCCAAATTGAAAGCATTTTCATCGTAGGCAAACTGAGAAAATGTGTACTGAGTATCTCGCCCTACTAATTAGATAATATGTCTTAAATATTTCTCGACAATCCTCAACATACTTCATTTCTCTGGAAAAAAAAATTAATCACCCTAATACGGAAATGCCAATCATTTGACTATTTTTATAATATAACTGTATTCAATATTGAAATGTTAATCATTTGACCCCTATATGAGCATCATTTCATATTCATATAGGTGTTGTTTCACAGTTATATTCGTTTTTTGAAAAGATGAACCTGATTACAGTGCTGGCGCCTATTCAATTCAGAGATAGAACTTTCTCTATCGATGTACTTATCTGAAGCACCGCTGAAGATTCTGGAGGACCCATCAGAGACATTGATAATCATAACTTCAATCAACAAAGAAATTTCATCATTAAAGAATTCAATTTCGATATCCATAGTCAATCTAAAGGCAGAGCGTATACAAAGGAAATAATTTATAACTGTTTGCGCACGGCACACTGATTTTCCCAGGATGAATCTCAAACTCATTTTTTAAACATTAGACAGATTCGAATCTGATACCATTAGTTGAGAGAGAAAATGCATCGTACAGGGTAGGTACAGGGGGGTACATAGCGCCCGTGAACATTTATTGCCAAACCGTGACCAAGCAGATTTGGGGCTTTTTCACCCTGCCAAAACATTGTAATTCAATGATATCATTGTACCCGTGGATAAATAAAAAACTATTGACACTCACAATGGAAACGGAAAGTCATCTTTGACTGTTTTGGCGGCCATTGTTGTATCCGGAACTGGAATAAACGATGTAACAGCGGGGGGAGATTTGAAGGGATAGACATTTTGAATGCTAAATATAGTGAACCAATTTTCACAAACGTCTCCTTCTTTTTCTACTTCAATATTATTTTGACCGTGTTGTTGGAAGTTAACACTGGGTGCTGAAATTGTAATGGTTGTTGCTATCTTCTTTTCCTATATGATTTTATGATATTCCACTCCATCATATTATATTGTATTGTCCATTGACATTTGTCGATATGTCTTCATATCATATTGTATATACTTGTGTTCTTTCGTCCTTATATGTCTCTTTGTTTCGCATGTATATTACTTTCCACAAAACTGATGACTAAACATGAAACTCTCATTGGAAAGCCATGTTGAGTCTGTTGTTAGGAAGGCATTGGATATTATCTTGAGAAATACCACAGAATTTCGGAATCATCTCACTGTCTTCCCTGGTGAGACCTATATTGGAATATAGTTTCGTTATATGGAACCCTGTTTATGATGAATATATTTTACGTATCGAATATGTTCAGAAAGAAATTGTAAAACATCTAAACTACATCATATATTTTCGCCATCGACATTTTGAGTGCTATGATGATAACCTCAGATTCTATAAACTTGAACGTTTATTTATCCGGAGAGAATTTTCCGACATATTTTTTGTTTACAAAATATTCAATAATTTCATCGATGCTAACTACATAACTTCTGAAATAGAGTAATCTTCTACATAGGAACTTTCGATAGCAATTATTACAATAACTCTCCATTAATAAGTTTAATGAATTCCTATAATTTTGTTTGTAATACCCACTTAGACATTTTCCATTATTCCACGAATCTGTTCGAGAAGTATCTCACATTTCTTCTATGTTCAAACTAGAATCAACGACTGGAATAGATCATTAACTAGTTAGATAAACATATGTAACTCACTGTTTTTCTTTTTAGGTATATAAGTTAGTTTTAGGTCTTTTGTAAGATTCTATGCTCATATATAATGTATTTTGTTATATTGTGTCACAATAAAATAGATGAATAAATAAATAAATGATTCCTTAGTTCATTTCAAGAAAAAAATTCTTATGAACATATGCCCTAAAACTCTCAACTTATTAATTTAAAATCTTAAGAAAAAAATCGTTTTCTTATCATAACTTTAATACTGTTTTAGATATTTTCATGAAATTTGACATGCATTTACTAAGCACCAAAGGCATTTTTTGATGCAGGATATTTACCAATATGCCTATCAGTGGCGTCCATATGGAATGTATACTGGAGATTTTTCTAAAAAAATAGTTCACGCTCTAGCTTTTTCCGAAAATAAATATCATTTTTGAAATCCTCATTTCATGTTGCAACAATTTGATCTCTTGAATTATTTCGTCCGATGCACCGTTTTTACTTAAAAAACAGAATACCAGTTCCATTCATCTTTTGTGGTTTAACAAAATTATTTTGCACCAGTAGGCTGGTGCGATATTTTTTATATAAAATAATGATATTTGATCGATTACGTTAATGTCATATTTTGACAAGTAATAATGAACGTACATTGTGAAAGTTTCTTCAATCAATACTTTTTCTTGAAATTATAACATCCTATAGCTTGAACATTAAGTTATTTAGGGCACCATGTTCATTGTTCATATGAATTTCTCTTCTTGGAATAAGCTGAGGAAGCATATATCCTATATTTTCAGCAATCAATGTCCAATTACACCCTGTATACTGCGATCGGAATTTGATTGATGATTGTTCTTCATTCATTGGCTCTGTTTGAGTAAGGATTGATCTCGCATTCTATTCTCAGTCCTGAACACAGTTGTCCTTTGAAACTTATCACCAACACGTTTTATTTTTTCAGATATGTTATTGATTGGCGTTCATGTTGTGATTGCATTTTGTCATTTCTACAAATATATATCGAAATATCACTTTATTTTCATGAAGACTATAGGTCAGGAGGTAATGTCCAAGAGCCACAGCAAATTCGACCGTCATCTGATAACGAAATGATATAATGTTCCAAAGGCATCTAAAAACATTGGATCTCATCGAACGGCACCTGTGCCAATCGCTATCCTGAGCAAAATGTTTGGAAATTTGCACTTTCCTGTGCGGAAATTTGCACTTTCCTGTGCGGTAATTTGCACTTTCCTGTGCGGTTATTTTTTGCACTTTCCTGTGCGGTAATTTGCAGTCGATTTCGCGATTGAATAAAGAGATAAGAATTATGCCATTCGATAAAAATTTGATGGTGGATCTCAAAAACCTACCTGATGTGCCACCCCTCAATCTGAGCCAAATCCGCGATTCATTTGCTGCCATTATTTCATACACACTTCCGTCATGTGATAACGAGTTGAAACGAAAAGCAAATGAGAGGGGATAATGATCTTAGTTAATGGCAGAGAGTCACTATTTCCGTGAATATTTCGCCCCTCTCTGAAGATAATATTCGATGGACCACTGTGAAACTCAACATGTGCGAGCTCCATCTGACTCTTACACTGGTCCATCGGATATCATCTTTCGACGGGAGCAAACTATTCCAGGAAATATCTCGTTATCGGATGACGGTTGAAATTTGCACCCGGCTCCCCTACTATATAAAAACAGCAATGCTTTGAATACCACGCCAATGATTATTGAATGAGTTGTTCAGGATGGTTCAGGAACTTCAGCAACATTATGTCAGTTAGTCAGTTTGACATACATAATTGTCAGTTTTGATTTTCGTGAAACAAGGGCTGACATCTTCCACACTGAGCAATTCTTTAGTTTGTCGAGTCAATATTCCAAGACCAACAACTATATGAACCCGATTTGACGATAGTGAAATACTGAGACAAATACACAATAATATGATGAAATGGGATGGCATCCACCTCCACAATTGATTGATGAACATATGATATATTACCCTCAATAGTCTGAAATTTTCTTGAAAATGGTTGATGATGCAGAACAAAAATGTACAGGGACATGTGCCACAGGTATAGTAACTATCTATAGAGAGTAAATATGAATGCGCTCAGGCATTATTTTTTGCAAGTGTTATAGATTCAATTGAACTAACAATTAGGAATTAACAATTAACAAACAACAATTAATATTCACCAGGGTGTTTTTATATATCTGATATTAATTTTGATATTGGTCTCCACAATTCATGAATCTATAAAAAATATCACCAAACTCCACTTGAAGAATAACAAATCCAATCTCCAATATTTGGTAATTCTTAGTTGTTAAGGAGAAAGTTGGCCACCTTGTAATTTTTTATTCTTAATTTGAATGACAGGTGTGAATATATTAACCCTCATAGATGTTTCCTTTTGTTCAACATTTTGAGTTCATAGTTGTTAGTTTAATTCTTAGTTTAGTTGAATCTATGAACCCAGCATTTCAAATAAATGAAGTAGATAGAGAAATACTCAAGTTTCGTGTACTAAAAAGCGTTTATTCACTATATAAACTGACTATATAATAGTTATTTATATATCAAGGGCGTAAAATATGCTTTCATGGACCATAGCGTGTAATTAAAAGCACGAGTGATAGGAAGGGCAATTAACACGTCAAGGTACAGTCGTATTCAATAACAGGGTGCGTACAGGGTGATTCACCATAAATGTCCCCCCCTCTAGCTCACTCATTTTTGAACCAATTCAAGAATTTGAAAAATAATTTGAAATGATTTTTCAGAAATTTTTTCCCCGTTGTATCAGAAAATATAGGGTGCTCAAAACAAACAATCTACAGAGTACTACTCGATTTTTTTCAAATGGAACACCCTGTATTTCATTATATTTTTAGATTCTTCCTGAAGAGCTGATTTCATCGATATGTCACACTTGAGGTCTAGCGGGAATGATTACAGAAATATAGGGTGTTCAAAATCGAGATCTTTCAACTTCAAGATTTTTTTGGTGTCGAAACTATTCATTATTGGTCAAAACGGCTTCTATGTCCCCATCTCAACTCTTGATTCACTATCTACTGACATTTAATTGGAACATTCACAGGGTGGTTCAAGATTCAGAATTCTGATCACCCTGTATCTGTCCCTATCATTAAATGTCAGTAGATAGTAGATCAAAAGTAAAGATACGGACATGAAAGCCGTTTTGACCGATAATGAACAGTTTCATCACAAAAAAATTCTAAAGTTGAAAAATCTCGATTTTGAACACCCTATATCTCTGTAATCATTCTCGCTAGACCCCATGTGTGATGCATTGATCAAATCAGCTCTTCATGGAGAATCTAAAAATACAATGAAAAATAGGGTGTTCCATTGAAAAAAAATCAAATAGTACCCTGTAGATCATTTGTTCAGAGCACCCTGTATTTTTTGATGTAGCGGAAAAAAAGTTTATCGAGAATCATCTGAGATGATATTTCGAATTTGGAAATCTGTACAAAAATAACTGAGCCAGAGGGGGGGACATTTATGGTGAATCACCCTGTACAAGTATTAAACATAGAAGATTTCGGCATTCTAGTTCTCGTTGTGTAAAATTGGCTCAGCCAATGCTTTGTGTTTTTGAGAACCTATGATTACTCTACTGTCAACATTTAGTGAAAATTCATTCCCGATAGCCCGTTTTACCCAAATAGGATGACGTTAATTTCTCCCTCCAATATACTTCTACGCTTTTTTTTTGGATACGACTGTACATAAGAACAATTAACGCCCGAAATACATGCAACTTGCACGACCAGTATATTTTATTTTTCATTGTGAATACCTATTCGACCTCGCCAAAACGATAGAAATACGCCATGACTGCGGTAAAGTGCAACTTTACGCCCGATCGTGCATAATAGTAATTTTTCTACCAAGTGCGGAAAGTGATACTTCCCGCATGCGACTGCTGTTGACCCGAACGAGGCGAAACGAAGCAGATAGGAACAACTAACAAAAGTGATATACAGGATGGGCCACCAGTAACGCCTCGGTCTCTAGAAGGCTAACCACTTATCTTCTTGGAATTCTTCCTCTCTAGGAAGTTGCATGTCAACATAGGCTACCATTTGAAATTATTTTGAAACATACAGGATGTCCCCAAAAATCACAAAACACTGAAGTTGAACTTTTTTCAATCGAACACCCTATATATTATTTCATTTTGAGATTCTTCCTGGTGAGCTGATTTCAACAATCTATCATACTTGGGGTCTAGCAGTTATAATTACTGAGATATAGGGTGTGAGAAATCGAGATTTTCCAAGTTCAAGAATTTTTTGTGTCGAAACTATTCATAATTGGTCAAAACGGCTCACATGTCCTTATCTCAACTTTTGATCAACTATCTACTGACATTCAATTGAAACAAATACAGGGTGGTGCAGAATTCAGAATCTTGTTCACCCGGTATATGTCCCAATTAAATATCAGTAGATAGTTAATCAGAAGTTGAGATAGGGACATGTAAGCCGTTTTGACCACTTATGAATAGTTTCGACACAAAAAATTCTTGAACTTGGAAAATCTCGATTTTTCACACCCTATATTTCAGTAATTATAACTGCTAGACCCCAAGTATGATGAGTCGTTGAGATCAGCTCATCAGGGAGAATCTCAAAATGAAATAATATATAGGGTGTTCGATAGGAAAAAGTTTAACTTCAGTGTTTTATGGTTTTTGGGGACACCCTGTATGTTTCGAAATAATTTTTAATGGTAGTCTATGTTGACATGCAACTTCCTAGAGAGGAAAAATTCCAAGAAGATAAGTGGTTAGCCTTCTAGAGTCCGAGGCGTTACTGGTGGCCCACCCTGTATTATTATCTAAATTTTTTTTATTCCTTAAATAGAATCATTACTCGAATAACTTTCAAATTTATATATTTTAAGAATTTTTGGGTCGATCGTTAGGTGCTAAAATCATCAATAATGCCACGGTAATTATTTCCACAGTAAATAGTGCAATTTGATGGAAGATCAGATTTTTCCCGCACTAGTGTGGAAAAATATTTCCCGACCTGTTGCGGGAAAATGACACTTCCCAAACTGGATTGCGTGCGGGTATAGGGTGAATCACGCACGCTTGTAAACAAAAATTATTCATGTAATTTTTAAAGAACGATAATTCTTTCAAAAATTTTAGATATTCCTAATTTATTGGGATGATTGAAGCATAATGGAATACACAACAACAAGAACACCTTATCGACATGTTCGGTCCATTAACAGCTAATATGATAATGTTTTCGTCTCGAAATTGTTGCATCATTACATAACAGATATAACTACAAGAATTTGTATTTTTATATCAATCCAGTGACAGTACATAAAATAATAATTATATTCATATAAATATGAGAAGTGTATGAAATTCTGTCTTTCTTGAATACAGCGTGTTGAAAATATTACTTGGAATTTTGAATACTGCGAAAGGACCCCGCACTAAAGTATAGGGAAAATGGCTCTCGATGAAAATCGCTGAAATTTTGGTATGTTGCAGACTTTCATATACTGAACAGATATTCCAATGAACTAACCTCAAAAAATGGACAGTTTTTCTGTTTCTGTTAAAGCCTAAGAGAAGTAGGGTCACATTTACCCAAATACCCCCCTGGTTTGTACGCCCCTGGTTGAAGGTGACAAAATCCAGAAGGCTCAAATTGATGAACCTACGAACTTCATGTACCAAAATTGGTTGCGATAGCTGCAGTAGTACCGAAGCTATAAAACGAAAAGTAGTTTTTGAAGGTCATCTTCGAAGGGCCCTAGCTCCCTGAAGAAGCGTTTTCGGACCCATGTTCACATGAACTTTTTTTCTTATTTTCGTGTGTTTTATCTACCCTAGAAGTTTGTAACATGATCACCGGAACACCCTGTAAAAATTATTTTTCAAAAACTTTATATTTCGATCAAAAACTCAATAGCGGAGTAGAGCAGTGCGATGTGATTTCCTATTGCCTTGATGAAGTCTTTCTCGGGGTCTATGCTGACTCATTCAGATTCTTCAAATATATTAACATTCATATCAGAATGAAAACGAAATGTGATTGTTGTTTCAATGATATCATTGATATCAATGATATTCGGATCTTTTTCAAGGTTAATTCGTAGTCTACTTTGTATATTTCGAACAGAATGTCATTGGAAAAAAAATGGTACCAATTTGTGATTATGTATTTCGTACTCAGGCTGTAGACGTAATTGAGACATTTCTATAACATTTTTGATTTCCTGACATACCGCCGGGTATACAGGGTGTTCATTTCAGGACTTCCCACCCTAATTTTCTCGAAATGTGTGTATGTTTTTGAAAAATCCCGAGACATATCAACTACATTTTCGAGGGGGACATGGTTCTAAAATATTTTCAGCCCCGCGGCGTTGCCGCTTCTAACGAAAAGAAGCAACAACTTTGTTATTTCAAATGGAACACCCTGTATTTTATTGCATTTTTAGATTCTCCCTGAGAAGCTGATTCCATCAATGTATCACACTTGGGGTCTAGCAGGAATGATTACAGAGATATAGGGTGTTCAAAATCGAGATTTCACAACTTTAGGATTTTTTTGAGTCGAAACTATTCATTATTGGTCAAAACGACTCTTATGTCCCTATCTCAACTTTTGATTTACTATGTACTGACATTTATTTGAAACAAATACAGGGTGGTTCAAGATTCAGACTTTTGATCACCCTGTATTTGTTTCAAATAAATGTCAGTAGATAGTGAATCAAAAGTTGAGATAGGGACATGAAAGCCGTTTTGACCAATAATGAATAGTTTCGACTCAAAAAAATCCTAAAATTGTAAAATCTCGATTTTGAACACCCTATATCTCTGTAATCATTCCTGCTAGACCCCAAGTGTGATGCATTGATGAAATCAGCTTTTCAGGGAGAATCTAAAAATGCAATAAAATACAGGGTGTTCCATTTGAAATAACAAAGTTGTTGCTTCTTTTCGTTAGAAGCGGCAACGCCGCGGGGCTGAAAATATTTTAGAACCATGTCCCCCTCGAAAATGTAGTTGACGTGTCTCGGGATTTTCCAAAAACAAACACACATTTCGAGAAAATTAGGGTGGGAAGTCCTGAAATGAACACCCTGTATATTACTGCAACATTTGCAATAGCTGTTTCGATTGAGAACCCGCCTATGACATCGTGAGCGGTAATTGATAATCATTATTATTCCGACTCTCGATACCTTTAATCAAAAAACTGATAACCTTGAAGTTCGTTTATATATCGATATCGAAAATAGGATGATTCCAATTCACATGTCCCTTTCAAGTTGATCAAACTGTGGATACCTTCGAGATGCCAGGACAAGTGACAGATTCGCAGGTGCTCCGGGATTTGGCTACCCGGATCAGGATAAACAGTGTCGAAGCTACTTCTGCAGCTAAATCCGGGTGAGTTATTGAAGTGGCATATCTGCGGAAGCCGATAATTATCTAATAATACTACACCAAGAGAGAAACTCAAAGTCATCACCACAATAGTTCATAAAATGAACGAAAATGGTATATAATGAGAGGAAAAGAAATTGGATAGGTTGTCACAAATTCAAAATATACAGAAACAGCTCGAATCATATACAGAGAATAATCAGACCGTAGAACATAAAATAAGCTCATTTAATGACTTTATAGAGAAAAGTTTGATATGTCTGAAAAAAGCCCTCATATATTAATCCAGTGAATAGGGACACATAGAGGGGGTTCACCTTACAAACGGTCCGGTAGTTCTGAATTTTTGATATGTTATCTAGGATGGTTATTGTGTGTTCAAAATGCAAAATGCACAATTTCCCCTCCTCCGCGCCTTCCGCCATATTGAAAAAACCCAAAAAAATCGGCACTTCCTCCAGATTTTCGCGTATATCTTCGTTTTGGTGAATTTAAGCCACAAATAAGCTCCATTCAATGTTGTAGAGGATTAAATTTCCTATAATTCTCGTTTCGAATTTTGTTTCTAGGACTGATAGTTACGGAGATATGATTTTTTTTATAAAATAAAAAAACGCATGTTCCGGAATTTTGTCAAGTACGTTCAGCGACACTATGGCACCAATGTGATGGTGATTTTTGATGGCTACACTACAGATCCTTCTCAGCAAGGGACCAAGATTGCTGAAAGAGCAAAAAGGTACAAGGCAAACTCATAATCAAACGTGGTGTTTGACAAAACCACTGTCAACACCGTACTCCAGGATAAATTCCTGGCCAATGAGGGGAACAAGGACCGATTTGTGAAGCTGCTCTGCAATGAAAAGCGAGCGTCAAATACAGTCACAGACCAAGCTTCCGAAGATGCTGACAGGTTGATAGTTGCCACAGCTAAATGTCTGTCCCCCACGTACGACGCCGTCATCATTGTCGGAGAAGACATTGACCTACTCGTCCTACTGACTGGCACAACACCTGCGGTGAACAATGTCTACCTCGAAAAACCAGCGAGAGGGAAACATCCATCAGACGCAATCTACTCCGCCTCCTCCTACAAGTACAACTCCAAAGTGTCCAAAGTCTGTATCTTTCTCCTGCACGCAATATCGGGCTACGACATCACATCTAACATTTCTGGGTTCGGAAAGAATAAATTCTGCCAACTTTTTAGGAGAGACCCATCAAGCGGAGAGGTTCGAGGACCCTGCTGCCAGTCCCCAAGAAAGTTCAGTAGCAGGGAAGAGAATTTTGGTATCCCTATATGGTGGCAGTAAAGAACAATCGTTGAGCTCCCTTCGCTATAGCAAATTGAAAACAAGAACCCTCAAACTCAATCTGGCTAAACTACCTCCGACCACTGACTCCGCACATTTCCACTTACTGAGGTCATACCACCAGGTCGTTGACTGAATGGGTAGGTAGGTAATCAATTGAAATAGTACCTGCATCTTAAGCATCGCGCTGTGTCATGTAAAAATTCAAAGTAGGATTAGTATAAACTCCAAATTCGAGCTTAAATTGTAAAATGGTCGGTGAATATTTTTAGATACAATGTGGAGTCACAGTAGCAAAAAAAAACAATATGCCGTTGTTTTAACTTCCATTTTCACGCCCCATTACGTAGGGTGGGTGAAAAAAATTCCACATGCATTTCTGTAGGTAATTAAATTCCCTACAAATCTTCTTCCGATACTTGTTTCCCTAGAATAGGCCATGAGTGAACTACAGCGTTCTAAAGTGAGATTGACAAATTTCCGGAAAATGCGATTTTTTACATATTTTTAAAAGGTGCATATCTCCGTAACTATCAGTCCTGGGATCAACATTCAGAACGTGAATCATAGGAAATTCAATCCTCTACAATACTTAATGGGGCTCTTTGTAGCTAAAATGCACCATAACGATAATATAAACGAAAATCTGGAGAAAGTTCCTATTTCTTTGGGTTTTTTCAATATGGCAGTGGGCGCGGAGGAGGGCGAATTGTGCATTTTGCATTTTAAACACTCCATAACCATCCTAGATAACATATCTAAAATTCAGAACTACCGGACCGTTTGTAAGGTGAACCTCCTCTATTCACTGGATTATATAGTATCTTGCGAAAATGGCTTACCTCATTTGAAAAATCTTAAAATTTTGATTGATCAATTGGAACAAGTACACATTAAAAAAAATAGATATTATTCTTCTACAATTATCATGTCTTTCATGTTATACATCACTCTTCATTCTGTTTATGAACTCATTAGGATTTTTTTCATTTTACCTAACAAACGATACTTGCAACAGCTATCTTCCAGCTTGAATATCTCTCCAAGGAATAATTTGTTTGGCTGATGTAAAATGCGAGGTGAGATGGGACTTGCCTGGTGTTTATTTTATCCGAAAACCTAAATTAAACCTCAACTGTGATCTGACCCATTATTTCTTGCTAATTTTTTCATTAAAGTTCAATTATATATTTCGGTTAGCGGTTGATAGTGTTTGCCTATCTCGCAGTGTTAAGCCACAGTTGTTAAGCCCTGGTTTCTCTGACCAGATCGGCCCGAAATATTTCGTTGATATCACAGAACTCATATACGAGTTCTGTGGTTGATATAGCTCAGAAAGTTCGTAAGTGTTTCCGGTGAAACCAAGCGTATTTGTAGTAAGTAGTGGCGGTTTGTATAAAAGATCGGACCGAAATTTCGGTGAACGGTGAACGGAAAGCAGTTTGTCGGAATTAACCAGTGTTTGATTTGAACGATTTCAAAGCGGCACAGTTCGCCGAAAGTACTTCAAGATATTGATGAAGGAAGATCTGAACGAATGACACTACTTCGCCACTTCGGGATATACCCCAACGAGCCACTACAGCATTGCCTCCAGCAATTGAAAATCCAGTTGATCTGTTCTGCAAATCATTGGCAGCTACAGCTAAAACACTATCGCCGCGGAACTTGGAAGGGGCCAAACGAAAGACATTTCTTGTTGTGGCTAAAATAAAGGAAAAAAATATATAAACCCTTCCTATTCGCCAGCGTCCGTACCAACGCCAATGCCAAGTCCATATTCTGACGATTCAACCTGTGCTTCTCCTGGTCATTTCACAGAAAAAAAAATGGGCATCCCGGCCCTTCTTACAACAGTCAGCCTACTAACAATGATGACAGTACAATGATAACAGTACGGAACTACTTAACTGCCTTCTCACCTGGGTACACGAAGTTTTAAATAATAAGCTGTCTAAATAAGGTAGAACTCATTACTTTCAGTACTTTTGTAAACAAAAATAAAATATAACTTTTTAGATTTTTCTATTTTAGACATGGAAACTACATGCATATACTCACCTTAATGTGACTCATAACTTTTCCTTAGGAGAAATAGGAATCGGATGCTTATTTGTAGGTATAGAACTGATTTCATCGTTTATATGATTCAGTAGATCATGGAATAGTGATGGAGTTGAACGGAAAAATTCTTTGAATTTTTTATCATCATCCGAAAGATGCTTCAACACTAACAACTCATAAACACCTTCTTTGGCCCTTTTCTCAAAAATGTTCGAAACTTTATTATTTTTAGTACATACTCCTAATAACGCATACTCATCATCGATATTATGATGTTCTTCTTCTAAAATCATAGCAATAAAAAATCCATTTTTCATTTTGACTTTGCCGTAAACACCTCAGTTACTAGTCATGCGATTCCAACCAAATTTGGTGTGGTATAAATAACCATCAATATGATCAGTTTTACAGAGATGCACATTATTTTGGACAGTGCCGTGCGTTTTTATTGAAATAAAAAGGGGTCGATTCTTCATAAAATCATATTAAGCATTTTTTTTACAGGACATCTAACCCCATATTATTGTTCCTAATCCTCTCGAACCTTCATATGCAAAAAATCACCTAATTCCGGATCAACAGGATTGGCTTCATTTTTTTCATTTTCAGTCTCGCATAAATAGTGACTTCAAATCAACTACGAATTTTGGAACGTTTAATGGCTCCGGTAGCTTGAAAATCATGATTTGGAAGGAAAAACGGGTTATATTTTTTTATGTTGAACTCACCGTTTTCGAGTAAATAATTATTACGTTCGCAAAGATGCTGTTTAGATGTGCCTGTTTTTCTGAAACCCTTCATTGGCATCCTATGAAAATCCACATACGTGGGTTTGAAACGATGACGAATAATCTTATGAGGTCAGTTTTCCTGTGGAAAAATGCCTAATATGATTTAATAAAAAACTGATCCCTATTCATTTCAATAAAAATGCACGGCACTATCTAAAATGATGTTTGTCCTTGAAGAACTGGTCATATTGATGATTATCCATACCGATACAAATTTGGTAAAGATCGCACGACTGATAGCTGAGATATAGAGGGGGGGGGGCGTATGAAATGAGACATGCTGTAGACGAAACTTTTGAACGAACTAAATTCGGCGAATATCCACGTTCTGTACGCTAATATTCGCCTCTGGTTCGCCGAAATATTTCGGGCCGATATGGTTAGAGAAACCAGGCCTTTAGCCAGTCGAGAGTAGGCCTTCCGGATCCAATTCCGGATCACGGCGATGCGGTGTTGCATTTCCCTCACCATGGCTTTTCTCTTTAAAGAAGGCTATATTCTGATATTATCCTTTTTTGCAGCCACCCCACTTCATCCTCATCCATAGCCGAAATCCTCTCGGTGCTCTTCTTCAACACGATGCGCTACAAGGTATCCGCCCCTCGCGACCCTTCCAGCGACAGACTCGTCCTTTCCAAGGGCCATGCAGCTCCAGCCCTCTACGCAGCTTGGGTGGAAAACGGGCTGGTGCCGGCTGCCGAGCTGCGGCAGCTGCGCCAGGTGGGCAGCGACCTGGAGGGGCATCCCACGCCTCGGCTGGCCTTCGTCGACGTCGCCACGGGATCGCTGGGCCAGGGTTTGGCCATGGCCGACGGGATGGCCTATGTGGGGAAGTACGTCGATAAGGTGGATTTCAGGTGAGAACGCCAACGAAATATAGAAACTCACTCATGGTGATGGTAGAAAAAATGATTCTTTTCTGATATATTTTGAACAGGCTGTTTAGTTTACTACTTGTATGACCCTGTATAATAGTATGATACTACTTGTGGTACCCAATATAGTAGAAGAGATTTTCATTTTGTTATTGACAAGACAACGTGTCCTCAAAAAATAAGATATATATCAATAAATTCAATAAATAAAGAAAGATTGCTATACCAATTGCATTTCTACCATCAATCTCCATTTCATTGCCTCATATCATTTAACTAAAGAATACAGTAAACTATCAAGCATCGTTAGCATTGAACATATTGGTCCTTGGAGCCGGATATATTCAAATCGAACCTTCAAGACCGCCAAATTCTTCACAAAGGACACATAGCAGCACTCAAGACTACCTGGAGTAACAGTGAATGGCAAGCACCTGGAGCTTCCACAGGTAGCAACAAACAGTTCAAGCGAACAAATGAAAAACGTTGGAAACATATAGATGAAGAAAAACACTGTTTCCATTCGTTCCCTATTCATAATATATCTGAGAATATTTCTTTCTAAAACTTTCATACCTAATCAAGGGGATCAAACTTGAACGATGGAAATTTGCTTTTACAAACCTCTGATCACAGATTGGTGATTGGGTTTCCTCAATTCAGAATTTTTTCTTTATGATGAACATCAATTCATCGTACAACTGACAAACACTCATGGTGGAAAGTGAAAATTTGTTCGATAAGCACGTTGGGAACAATGGAGTGACAGCTCAAAAAAATTGACTGTTGAGTTAGAACGACCATCGGACAGCAAATTTTGAGTTCTACAGTTCAAGAATATATCGTGACATCACGATCCTTTAATTACTGCTGGTCACGTTATATATTATTATAATATATAAATTCTCCTGTCTAATTACAAAGTCTTGTGCAACATTTGGAGCTTGTGTCTGATTTTTCTTCCCTATAGAACTTACTGCCTTATCGGAGACGGAGAAAGCGCCGAAGGCTCAATCTGGGAATCCATAGCCTTCGCTAGTCATTACAAGCTAGACAACTTGGTCCTCATCGTGGACGTCAATAGGCTCGGTCAGACAGAAGAAACCATGCTGGGACATCACTTGGACATGTACAAAAGACGTTTGGAAGCTTTCGACTTCAATGCCATGGTCGTAGATGGACACGACGTCGATGCTTTGATCAAAGCATTCGACGCAGCTGCAGCCACCAAAGGGAAACCAACAGCTATCATCGCCAAAACTTTTAAGGTAAATGACTTAGAGTCACGGCTACATTTCATCTACTGTTAACCTTCTGTTTTCAGGGTAAGGACTTCCCAGGTGTAGAAGACAAAGACAACTGGCACGGCAAGCCTCTGGGAGCGCAATCAGAGAAGGTCTTGGCCCATCTGAACTCCTTGCTCAAGGTCAAGGGCAAACTCAAGTTCACCATACCACCAACTGTTACGCTAGCTCCAGCAGTCAGCATTTCCAACATTAAGCTAACATCGCCACCTTCTTATAAGAAGGGAGACATGCTGGCCACCAGATCAGCATATGGAACTGCTTTGGTGAAGCTGGCCAAGTCCAATCCCAGGGTGATGGCTTTCGACGGAGACATGAAAAATTCCACGTTTTCCGAGGAATTGATGAAGTTCAATCCCGATGAGTTCGTGGAGTGTTTCATAGCTGAACAGAACCTTGTGGGAGTTGCTGTTGGAGCTGCTTGTAGGGATCGAGTTGTGGCCTTTGTGTCCACTTTTGCAGCTTTCTTGACTAGAGCTTTTGACCAGGTTAGTACTAGAATCAAACATATTACGGGTTGAATGGATGCCAAACCAAACATGGTTCGAGAGGGTTTCAAGAACTGTGTATCTTGATGTATCCTCTATCGAACATAGTAAACTTGGTCAATTATTGAAGTATCTGAATAAACCCCTGTCAAAGAGGTTGAATCCTTTGGAATTGTCTTGGAGACATACGTTCAGATTGTGAACCAGTAGCTACAGGTACCATGCGAGAACCTCAACATACTATTTTTTTCAGTTCCGTATGGCAGCAATCTCCCAATCGAACATCAATGTCTGCGGATCTCACTGTGGGGTCTCTATAGGAGAAGATGGGCCCAGTCAGATGGCCTTGGAAGATATTGCCATGTTCAGGACTATCCCTGGAAGCACAATATTCTATCCTGCCGACGTGGTAGCTACCGAAAGAGCGATGGAACTTGCAGCTAATACTCCTGGCATCACTTTCATCCGGACTTCTAGACCTCCTACCGCCGTCATTTATTCCAACGATCAAACTTTCCAGGTGAGATCAAGTTCCCTACATCGAAGTGTTTCATTTTTTGATCTTCTTCTGGCGCTTTCAGATTGGCAAAGCCAATATCGTCCTCAGCAGCACAAAGGACCAAATCCTGATCATAGCAGGCGGTGTAACGATCCAGGAATCCATGCTGGCAGCGAACACGCTGTTGCAGACGGGAATAGGAGCTAGGGTGATGGATCCCTTCACCATCAAACCCATCGATAAGGAGGGAATCATAAGCCACGCAAAAGAAGTTGGCGGGAGGATTCTGGTAGTCGAAGACCATTATCCGGAAGGGGGTATCGGCGAAGCAGTGTTGGCTGCGGTAGCGGAAGAGAAGGGTATACAGGTGAAGCTGGTGGCTATACCAAGGGTGCCGAGGTCTGGCAAGACGGCAGATTTGCTGAGTTTGTATGGCATCGATGCTAAGGGTATAGTCGAGCATGTGAAGAATGCTTTGAAGATGTGATGGTTGTATATGACAATAAGCTGACTTAAATAAACATTTCCATGAACCTACTGAATGTGTTTCAATAATCGCTCTTAATGAGAAGATCTGATGAAGATAGTGAAACGAACGAGGAGAAATGTTGACAACATAAATATGGACTTGGCAACAATTCTCGAATGGGGATCCAATAACTTGGTAGATTTCAATGCAAACAAAACACAACATGCCTTTTTTCTAGAAAAGCCGATCTCACTGTGCCCAACATAAGCTTGTCAGGAGTAACCATACCTTTCAAGACGTCCATTTCGATGCTTGATATTACTATCAGCAATAACCTTTCTTGGGAAAATCACATGAGATCAATCGCTAAAAGTGCATCCCAACAACTTAGTTTTCTGTTTCGGGCCAGGAGCTATTTCACTTCCAGTCAGCTGCTTATGATCTATAAGGCACAGATCCGACCTGTCCTGGAATACTGTTTCCATATTTGGAGTGCAGCACCCAAACATACCCTGAAACTGTTGGATTCTGTCTGAAAAAGAGCAATTCGTCTCGTGGGTGATGCCTCGCTCACAAACTCAGTCATTTCTCTGGGACACCGTAGAAAAGTAGGTGATCTGGCTCTATTTCATAGACATTTTCATGAACAATGCTCTTCTGAAATATCAACAATTGCTCCTTCCTTGGCAGTCCCCGCGAAATTAACCCGTCGAGCTGAGGCTTCGCAGCCCTTCGTGGTCACCTTCAGAACATCTCTTTCTGAAGACTTGTTCATCCAACGAACAGCAAGGCTCTGGAACACATTGCAAAGAGAGGTGTTCCCCGAGGCATATTACCTCCAGAAATTCAAGAAAAACACCAATTCCTACCTTATTTCCCTTGGTTCTGACAATTTTCTCTGAACATTACAGGATATCCCTTTTCGTGGGAACCAGAACATAGAAAAAAAGTGAATTATTTCTGACTTGAGCTCAAATGACAGTTGATGTTCCTTCGACATATTCCAAAATAAAATCTTCTTTAGGAACGTACTTTTTTTTTAGAGGGTGTGGAATGAAGAAATCAGAACATTTTCATTGACATGATACGTCATAATCACGAATTCAGGGGCGTATACTCGATTTTCGTCAAAACTACAATGTGTTCAACTGTCAACATGTCGACATGAAAGTTTTTCAAATGTAAGTGCTTAAAAAATTGCGACTTCAGGGGTTCAGGGTTAATTTGATAGAGAATCAAAATAATGATTAGGGCAATGCTAGTTTTTCACCAAATGATTCAATAGGTTTTGAAATTCTTCAACATTTGAAAGAAGATAAAAATTGTGACATGAATCAGAGGCAATTTCAAAATATTTTAGGTGGATTAATCATTATATTTTCACATTTCAGTTTCAATTAAGTGAACTTTTCGAAATACGACTTCAATTGCTAGTTGCTGAGTGCTAGTTGAAAGACACCACTGAAACCAAATATGGCACCCATAAGAGTTTATATACTTTCACAAAGTTACTGAATGGTTCATTCACACCTATGGTTCTTCTCAATGCAATGGTACTTTTACTTTTTTGTATATTATCAATGTGATGAAGTTTTGTTTAAGCAAAGGACTATTCCAATCGTTTGTTTTCGGCACGTGTTGCCGAAATTAACATGCAAATAACTTGACTGCCAATAAAAACATAATCTGGATTCGGCGTATTCAAATGAGAGCGTCAGAAGATGTTCCGGTAGCAATTTGTGTCTCACTTTTGATCACTTTTCCAATGCCGGACATATTTTACACTCTCGTTCCCGACTCGGTTATGATAATCGCGTTTCTATTCGACACAACTCAATTTTAATTACATTTTCTTTAATTAATATGCTAATAATTTTGCATAGTAATTATTGGGAGCAATCTAGCGCGAGCTGATGTCGCTTTGATGTTTCGCATCTATCTTTTGGCAGAAGGAGGTGGGATTCGGCACAAGCGAACAACTTTGTCGTATACATTTCGAATTTCAATGTTGGATGACCCAAATGAGATACGATTTAATTTGTACCTACCTATAGCTCCTCGTTATATTTTGCAGACTTAGGTACTGGCTTTTCTCTTCTGCGTAGCTATACTTGAACTAGCTCCAACTGTTATTTTTCATGAACTTGTTCAGCAAAGGAAGCTGATAATCCACCTATCAATTGACATATGTATGTTAAGCCATATTATGGGTTGCGTTCAAGAACTGTCAGATGACCGACCCTGGAGATGAAACATTGAAACACTACGTATAGCTTTTTTATTTGTTTACAAGTGATTGAAATGTAGTAGTAGTAGTAGTATTGTGGGGAGGCTGTAGCCAGGCCAGTAGGCCCCCATGGGCCCTTTTTGCCAACCCCTGCTCTCCACATATCTACACATCCCTCTTTTAGTTGTCCTTTTCGAACCTTCCCGTCCTTCTGATGGAGGTCAGGATGTCCGTCCACTCTAATTCGACCAGATCTACCTGTTGTAGTTTATCTACTCCAAAGATTTCGAATCTCATCCTTCCATACGCCTCACACTCTCCGAGGAAGTGAAGTGATGTCTCCTCATCTTCTCCGAATTCACGGCAAGTGGTACTATCTTCCACACCTATGAGTAATAGGTGTCTGCGTAACCTGTTGTGCCCTGTCAGTATCCCTATAAGAAGGCGCAGGACTTGGCGATCCCTGCCCAGCAACCAAGCCGTCCTTGGCTTGCTTGGACCGGCCACCAGGTCTCTCGATTGCCCGCAGCCGCCTATACGCCTCCAGTATACTTCTAGTGCCTCGTCCGCCCATTTGTTAAGGGCAGACGAAGTTTGGCTTCTTGTTATGCCCAGTGCAGGCTCCGGTCCCCAGAAGTGATTGAAATAGTTCTTCACAGTGTTGAAAAGGAATATTCTCAGATAAATTATGAACATACAAAAATGGATATATATATTTATATAAAACAATACATTGAGAATTCGCATTCTCTATGTGATGAGAATATTTACTCTTGTTCAGTTAATTCAATAGAAAACAACTACTTTCCTGGCTATATGCCACGACGAACATTGAATTATATCTATTGAACACACAATTATTCTGGCGTGTTTTTCGGCTATTCATTAATTCGTACATACCATCACATTGTGCTGTTGTACAATGCAGTAAAAATGCAGCGAGAGACGAAGGAATCCGGTTAGCATATTATGATTTAAAAGTAAGTACCTACTCACATATAGTTTTTATTTTGAAATCTGGTAATTTATCTGATTTTTCATCGGAGTTCCTTTTGCAATAGCAGCTAACAGAAATACTCGTGAAATTATTAAAAGAACGCAAGAAGATTGGATTCATGCAATCAAACTGGAGGACTGATTTTTTTTTATCGCTTGGAGCGCACGAAAGGGAATCCCTACAATGTTCAAAGAACATTGTGCGTTCCTAGGGAGGATAGGGACAGGAGGTAGGTATTGCAATTTTTTTTGAACTTCTGGAGATTATATGTTGTTGGGAATACTTCCACAGGCAATGAATTCCAGAGCCTAGCCGTTCTATGGATAAAGGAGTCTTGATAAAGTGCTGTTTTGACATGCTCTCGAAATATGATCGTGTGTGTTGAAGATATTTTCAATCTTTTAGCAATATCAGCTTGTATTGCAGAAGTGGCAGAAGGAATTTTAATAAGAAATAATTAAGAGAACAAACTCAAAGTCTCGCTCCAAGTAAATTATAATCAAATCATATATGCTATATTCTACATGTTTCGACTCCTAGGAGTCATTATCAGGCTAAAATACAACACTTATAAATGAAAGAAGTTCCATCACTATTGGAAAATGGGTGACATACCTTGCTCGGTAGGAGGAGAAAAGAAACTATAAAACTATAAAATTGAGTACATAGTTTTATAGTTTCTCTTCTCCTCCTACCGAGCAAGGTATGTCACCCATTTTCCAATAGTGATGGAACTTCTTTCATTTATAAGTGTTGTATTTTAGCCTGATGATGACTCCTAGGAGTCGAAACATGTAGCATATAGCATATATGATTTGATTATAATTTACTTGGAGCGAGACTTTGAGTTTGTTCTCTTAATTATCTCATCACCTCCAATTTGAGCATGGACTACTACCAGAGATTTAATAAGAAATGATATATGACAAAATTTCATAATAAAAACTGTATGAGATTACTATTTACCTAAAAAATCATATTCCTTCATCTCTCATACTTAGTAGAAGAACTCCGTATTCGTATTGGTATTTTGGAATTATAACTTTTCATTGAATTAGGCTATATTAATTTTTGAGAACTTTACCACCCTGTATCTCAAAAGTTAGGACATTTAGGTCATGCGTTCATATGAAACTTTCTTCTCAGAATGGCCCCAAGCATCGTCTCTCCAAATATTAACATTCAAATAAGAACTTCATCGATGTGTAAACAGTAAGATATCATTACAGAAGTCATCAGAGGAGCATAATATATTTGGAATTCAAACATATTATAGAGAAACAACTAAACATTCACAAATCACAGCCCCACAACGATACTCCCATATCCTATTGCAGATACAGACAGAAGGTCATTCATTAGCTGATTACCAATTTCTTCTGATATGTCCTGTAATGTGGTTGAATCATGAGATTCCATTCTACTTCCAACTCTTTTTTTAATGTTAACATCATGAATTTGCTGCATATAGGAGCACTATACCCAGTCTATAGCTTAGCTAACGTTACAAGTTACTATACCCTTATTGCTTCGTACATCCATATCAAATAACGAATCCACATATTTGATTTGAAATGATTTCTCAGTAGTAAAGGACCAAACGGAGAAAATCGAAAAAAAGTTAGGAATATGGATGTTCATCGCTTTGAAAATACAAACAACAATATTGGACAACAAAATCATTCTAGAGCACTTCTTTAGGTGCTAGGTCAGTTTTGGATAGATTTTTATGCGTCAAATTAACTTCAGGACTCCAAGAGGAAGATTCTGATATTAGTTCCTCCTCCAGCAATAAGTTGACATATACTGAAAGTGGGAGTCAAGTCAAATTGAAAATGGAGATTG